CCGGTGCCCTGGTGACTGCTGGTTGGCTGCCCCTCACTCTGCAATCTTGGCAACGCCGCGGGCGTCCAGCAGGATGTTCTGGGGCTTCAGGTCCCTGGGGTTTGGGCGGCGGCGGTGGGAGCGTCGGTTGTGCACATGAGAAAGGTACGTACAATGGGAGGCCAATCGAGACATCTTCCAGTAGGGCGGGGTTGAGGGTCGTGGGGGTCGCAAGTGGATGGTGGGGGAATGCTGCGTGTGGGAAGTTGGGGGCTGTCGGGCACAGCCCCTTCAGCTGCGAAACAACAGGCAGCAGGTGGACCAGGTAAACCTGGCGAGTGCTAAGGGCAAACGTGCACTTGCAATTGGTGATTGCCAGCACACGGAGTTTGAGTGTTGCTGACTCGGATTGGCGAGAGTGGCTGGCAGCACTGGCCGCGCCAGCACAGCTGTTGCGTGGACAGGCCCACCTGTGGACGATGGTGGGATGCAGCAGCGCCAGCCCCGCCGCCACATCAGCGGCGACCTCCAGCGCGCGCCGCAGCGGCATCGGCTGCGCGGCGGCGCGGCGGCCGCGGGGGCCGCCTTGCTGGGCACCGTCGGTCCCGGCCGGGCTGCCGCGCCTGGGGCCGTGGATCAGGTCTGACAGGTTTGACTCCATTAACTCCTGCATTGTGGGGGGGGGGTCGTTTACACCAATAACAAGAGAGGGTGCACAGGTGAATGGCTAAAAACAGCAAATGCAGTGGACGGGTGTTCATGCAAAAGCTGGGTGGAGTGGGAAACAACGTGGTAATGGTGCTGTTGACCCCCAGCAGTGCCCCCAGGGGATGGAGCGGGGCAGAGGGGGGTCACCTCACCCCCTCACTGAGGGTACATGGCATGAGGGTAGGCTAGCGGTGCTTGTGTTTATGCACACAGGCGGGGAAGCTCCGCGAGGGCGTACGGACACGCAGGGGGCCAACATTGGTGATGCGCACTGCAGAACTGATGTGCAATACAGCACCACGCATCCGCCCCTGGTGCGAACGCAGCGCGGGCAGACCAGCGCGTGTTGTCATCACACGCAGCCCCAGCTTTTTGCGGCCGCACCTCGACAATGAAGACGACCGGCGGCGTCGTGCAGCCGCCCCACACGGTGACGATGTTGGGGTGGATCGGGATGCGCGCCACTGCAGGGCAGGGCAGGGGACGTCACAGGGGGGTGAAAGCGTGAGAGGTGAGGTGGTTGGATGCATTGCAACAGGTGCGGGGGAGGCCAATAATGCTCGTGAGGGCGCTTGTACAGTATGCAGTGCATGACAGAGAGGGCCGGGGCTTCAGATGTAGCGGCGGTTTTCGCTGACTGCGCACGCGAATGGAGAGACTGGGTCATGGCTGCACGCAGTGCGTGCTTGCAAAGCGGGCTCGAACGACAAAAGAGGCTCTACAGGTCGACTAATCAGCTGCCCCTCAAAATGATTCCCTCCCTTGCCGGCCGTTCGACAATTCAAGTGCCAGCAGAGGCAGGTGACCCCCCCCCCCCCCCCCCGCGCGCAACTGATGCTGAGCTCGTCCGCCATGGCGGCCGCCTCCCGGGAGTCGATGTGCTGCGCCGCCCAGCAGCCGCCCAGCAGCTTCACGGCCACCGGCCTGCGCCCCTTGAGCACCCCGCGGTGCACCTGCGGCATGCACGCATGGGACCCGGGAGCAATCCCATAAAACACTTGCTGCTTCACTCGCTTTGCAGGACGAGGGGGCGGCGAGCGCCACGCGACACACGCGCCAATCGCCCTGCACGCGAGCTGCGCCGCTGGATTCAAAGCAGCAACTAGCAACCAGCAACCCGCAGCCAGCTCGCACAAAAGCAGCCGCGTCCGTGTCAGCACTGGTGCCCCAAAACAAATCGCCTGTCCAAAGGCGCCGGCGCCCAGGAAGGAGCGCGGGGCGGCCGGGAAGGCAACGTCACGGCGCAGGTCCAGGTGCATGTCCACGTCAGCGCGGATGGGGTCGGTCGGCATCACGATCTGACGGGGTTGGGGTATAAGTCAGAGGGGCAGAAGCAGATGAGTGCAAGAGAAGGGGGCGGATGGGGGTTTGGCTGGTGGCGTGGGGATGGTGATTCAACAGGTGGTGTGGGGATGGGGATGTTGAAGGCCAGGCAGCATCACCCATCCAGCAGCGATCACAGCACGCAGCAGTGACTGGCGTCAGCCCAGTGAGGGGCGCTGTCTGGGTGAGGCGTGGACACAGCGCGCCGGCGCGCCAGCGCCAGAGCGGCGGCACGCCAGCCGGGCGCTTTGCATGTGCATGCGCAAGGATGCATCCGCCGGCGCTTGCGCATGCAAACCCCGTAATCATATGCGCCCGATCACCCTCATGTCTGCGCTCCGCGCTGAGCTGGCGCGTGCAAGGCCCCCCGCCTCCTCTGGCGCGTCGGCGTCCGCGGCCGGCAGCACCCACAGCGTGACGCGGCCCCCGCCCCTGCGTGGCGGTGGCAGCGAGAAGCAGGGGCAGGCCAGGCAGGGCCTCAGCTTTGTGTCGTGCTGTCAGACTTGAAGCCTTGACGGTGGGTGACCAACGCAGCAGCTGCAGGCTGGCGATTCAAATTTCCGCCTTCGACACTGCAGGGAGCTGGGCTGCTGGGTGGCGACAACACCTGGTGCCGCAACATCCATCCAGCAAATGCATGCACACTGTGAGTTCCTTTGCCGCAGTGGACTCACGTGCCAGAGGATACGGGGCCGGTTGGCTCCTCGATGCCAATGAACGCATGCACCCGCCGCCTGCACTCCGTCACATCAACGCTCTCGCCCCCGCCGCCGCCCGCCCGCCCTGCCCCGTCATCCGCCCCCGTCGCGCCGCCACGGCCGCCCGTGCTGGACGCTAGCCATGACGGCATCGACAGGCCGAGGGCGCTCGTCGTCGCGCGCAGCATCACGCGTGCCGCCTGAGGGCCGCCGGGCGGCGCCGGCGGCCCGGGGTCGGATATTGCGGATGCCCCGGCCTCGGCCATTGCAACGGCGGCGGCGGTTGAAGATGCCACACTGCGTCCGCCAGCCTCCAACTCCGCCGGCAACGACGCATGGGATGCGCCCGCGGCGGCGCCGGCCCGGCCGCCGGCGCCCGCGAGCGCCTTTGACAGCGCGGCAAGCACGCCCGGCGGCGGCGGATGTCCACTGGTGGCACCCACGACGCCGCCGCCCCTGCTTGCGCTGCTGGGGCCGCTCCTGGCGCTGCTGGCGCTGGCGCCGCTCCTCCCGGCGCCGCCCTGGCTGGTGGCGCTGAGAAAGGGGCGCTCAAGGGACGACGACGCCGCGCTGCTGCCCCCTCCAGACGGGCCCGCCCGCGGCAGCACGGGCCGCGAGCCCGAGCCGCGGCCGCCGCTGTCGGCGCTGTGGGCCGCAAACATGTTCAGATCGTCGAGCCCCAGATCACGGTGATCTTGATCTGGCCCGTAATCATCCCGGCCCCCTTCCTCATCGTAGGACGGGCCGCCGTCCGCCGCCGCCTTGACAGCCCCTGCGTGGGCATCGGCGCGGCGGCGGCGGCGGCGGCGGCGGCGGGCGAGCAGCACGGTGCCGCAAAGCAGCAGAGCGAGTGCGGCAGCACCGCCAACAGCGGCGCCGACGATCACTCCTGTTGACGCCGGCTGCGGCTTTGGGGGCGGCGGAGCCGGCGGCGCCGCGGGGCCGTTGCCGATCGCCGGCGCTTTGGCCTTGGGAGCGGCCGGGCTTGGCGGCGTGTTGGCTGTCTCGCTGACCTGCTGCGGCAGCTGTGGGCCGTTGCCGCGCGGCGCAAAGCCGCCGTTGGGCAGGCCGTCGCCGCCGGCGGCGCCGCCGTTTGGCAGCTGAGTGCCAGCTGCTACTGCTGCTGCTGCCTCAGGAGCAGCGGCTGCGTCGGCTGCGTCGATTGCGTCGATTGCGTCAGTGGCGGCAGCCCCTGAATCTGCTGGTGACTCAGCGGATGCTGACTCAGCGGCGGAGGGATCCGCGCAGCGGTCCCAGTCGCGCTCGCGGAAGTCCAAAGTTTTCGGGATCTCTGCTGTGCAGGTTGCGCGGTCGACGGGGCACCAGGGGCCAGTGTAACTGCGGGTGACATGTGGGCGGGTAGGTGGGTGCATGGTGAGGCTGATGCGTGTGCGGAGCCAAACCGAGTGAGCGCTATGTCTGGGCAGCACACAAGTAATGGGCCTGCGGCGTGGGGCTGCAAGGCGTGGCTGAATAGCAACACCACTCAGCAAGGCTTGCTTCATGACTAGATGCACTGAACATGGCGTTAGAGCATTTTTGCCAGGTTCACTGCACCGAGCCACAACACGGCTGGGGTGTCGTACAAACCCAACAAAGCTTGGGTGGTTGGCGATGAGCACACGCGTGGCCGCCTGGCCCGCTCACTTTCCGGGCGCCCCCGGCGCGGCCGCGCACGAGCCATTGGCGTGGAGCGCCCCACCGGCGTCCCGCCACTCGCCCTGGCACAGGCAGCCGCCAACGGTGCGCTCACGCACCTCCCCACTGCAGGACGCGCGCAGCGCGTGGGTGCAGATCACAAGGGGTTGCTTGCTCTTTTGTTATGAGGGTGGGGCATGAGTGCGCGGGGCATGTAGGGAAATTCCCGCTGACAGAAACCAACGCCGGCACTGCGGCTGATGTACACACTGAATCAGCACCTCGCGCTGAGTGCAGCCACGGCCAGACGGCCACAAGCAAATGCCTCTTCACCGCACACCGCCCAGCCCGCGCGTCCCGCTCACCAGTAATCATAGTAAACCACCGACGCGTTGCGCGCGGTGACGTAAGCACCATAGTACGAGTGACACTCCCGCGGGTCCACGGGGCACCACGCCCCCGCCGTCAGCAGCCTGTTGCCGGGGTCCGCACAGCCGAAGAATGTCGTGTTGCCACCCCCGCCGCCGCCGTTGGCCAGCGGCCTGGCCGCTGCGGGCGGCAGGTACCGCCAGCCGTGCGGCGAGCAGCGGCAGCTGGACTGCGTTTCAAAGAGATAGGCGCCCCGCTGGCGGGCGAGAGCGTAGGGACGGGTGGCGGGGACGGGCGGCAGCGCGGCGGCCGCGGCGCCGGACAGGGGCGGGGTGCTGTTGCGGGCCGCGCCGTAGGCCGTGTCGTTGCTGGTGATGCAGGGGGAGAGTCGGGAATGGTGGGGAGGCAGGGAAGTGCAGGGGGCACGCTCTGGATGAGAGGGATAAGAACGACAAGCTAGTTTGGACAGCACAGTTCGGCAGAAAAGGCAGCAATGTGCGTAGCCAGTCGGCAGAAGCAGGTGCGCGAAGGATGCCCCACCCAAGGTGTGTGCATGACTCCTGGCCTGCGCCCGCCCCCAGACCGGCGGCACCAGCACGCTGACCTCCTGGCCGAGCCGGCCCCCACACATGGCAGGGTCAACGGGTCGAACTGCAGGATAAGACCCCCCAAGCACTTGAGTGCTGCGCGGCCCCCTCAACCCCCTCCCCCCTCAAGCGCTGAGGGCCGGCGCAGTCGATCAGAAGCCTTTCTGCGAAGCGCCGCGGGTCGCCCACCAATAGTCCCACAGCCCAGGGTCCTTCGAGCCATCCGAGGCCTTGGGGAACGAGGGGCAGCTGGCGGCGTAGACGCGGCACCAGGCGCCGCCTGCTCGCACACCGACAGCGCGCGGCCGGCAGTGGTGCGTGCAGGTGAGAATTGTCGTGGGACCTCAGGCTGCTAGATAAGTGAGGCACGGGTATCCAGACAAAAGCACGGACGGAGACGTGCATGACAGCTCAAGCCCCTCCATCACACGCACGCGCAGCACATGTCTGCAGCTCCGCAAGCTGCAACCACCGATCACAGCGGGGCGCGTCGCACATGCAAATGATTATGCGACGCGGCGGCACCGATGACTGCCGCTCACCCCCCATCCGCTCGTGAAGCCCCGGCACCCACCGGCTGTGCTGTTGTCTGGCGCCGGCAGGGTCGCACAGCGGCCGCCTGTAACGGCGCTCTGGCCAGTGGCGGCGTCGGACGGGTTCCACTTGGCCAAGCAGGTGCACCCGAGGTTGGTCCTCAGCCGGGGCTTGGGCAAGCAATAGGCGAAGAGCCTGCAGGCAAGTTCAAGTGCAGTGTGAGGCGCGCAGAGTTTTATGAGCAGAGAACAGAAGCCGTGACCTTCAATTGATCCAGGATGTGGGTGGGTACACAGCTTTGGAAGGGGAGGGTAGGAGGGGAGCAGCACAGCGCGATTCGAGGCTGCAGGTCTCCTGGTGCAGTGCACCATCGAGCCCGACCTCTCCAACCGGGCGGTGACATCATGCTGACAAGGCTTCCCTCGTCCCGGAGACCACCACCCTGCTGGGTGGCGCAGCGGCCTGATCATTGTACTCCAGCCGCACGCGCCTGGTCTCGTTGCCGGTGCCGTCCAGGGTGACCTCTCCATCGTACCCACAGCTCTGGCCCGCCGCGTCTGCGGCCAGCGGGCACCACTCCGCGTCGCCGTCGCCGGGGGCCCAGCGGCCGCAGCCGACGGTGGCCTGGCCGGTGATCTGCACGGGGTCGGCGGCGCAGGGGCAGACCTGCCAGGAGGTGTTGGCGACGACCGTGCCGCCCCCGGGAGGTGCACCGGGCAGGGGGGCCGCTGTGTGGGGTGTGCATTTTTGAAGCCGAGCATGCCGGGGGCGGGCTGGCGTTAGCGGAGCCCTGGCAGTGCTTTTGGGACTTGGTGCGGGTGCATTGCATTGGGCTCGAGATGCCTGTTTGGGTAAACACGCCAGTGTTGCAGGGCAAGCAACAAATTGTGTGTGCACGCCGTTGCCGAGGCAAGCGCTGTCGCATGCACCTTGGACGAGGCCTCGAGGCAACCTAGCGAGTGCTTGAGGAATTCCTGCCAGCATCAGCCACAGCAAGGGCCGGACACGCCACGCTGCGGCCATCAGTGACGACCGACGAGTTGTTCAACAGGCACGACTCGGCAAGGTAACTGCGCTTAATAACAGTTCCAGTTGCAATACATTTCACAATCTGCAACATCCGACTGGATGCATTGCTGAAGCCATTCACGGCCACTCAGGTGGGTGTGTTCCCACTGAGGGACCTTCCTTGCTGCGCAGTGTGTGCTGAGCGGCACCAGATCCGCATGGCGGGGTTATCCTTTGCTGTCATGTGATTGAAAAACTCTGTCGCTTAGCATGTACAAAGTAGAGTCATGCGTCGGGCAGGACGTGCCAGATCATCAGCAGAGGCGTCCTCCGCGCAGCCAGGTCAACAGCCAAGGCGCTGTGCAATGGCTTGACAGCCGGGGGACGCACACCTTGGGGATGCGGCCTCATGCGGTATAACAGGGTGGCGCAGGCGCGAAAACAGCAGGTTTGACTGAAGGACTTGGGGGTTTGACCGCCCAGCAAGATGAGCTTCTATTTGTCGCCATCATGCCCGCCCTCTTCCCCCGCCAATTGCGCCACATTGTATTACAAAGGTGATACAACGGCAACTGGGCAGACGCTGGGTATGGTGTACAAGCGCCGCCGCATCAGTTGACCCCTACCATGCGCGCGGCCGTCCCCCACCACGCGCAAGCATAACATTGCATACATGCTCATACATCGCAGCGCGGCACACAGCAGTAAATGCAGCAGCTCTGCCCTGTGCCTTCCCCCGTCCCCTGTAAAAGAGGAGCATGCCTGCCAGGTCAGCGGCGTCGGCGCTGCCTCCAGCATGCCTGCAATACGGCCTCCAAGTCGCCGTCTCCGCGGTGCCTGATGCAGCGCCACAAAGTGGGGCGCCGCACGTACACCCCAAATCCCAATGCCTCAAGTCGGAAAAGTCGCAAAGGCGCTGTGCGAAGGCGGCGCAGGGCCGCCAGCAAGGGCTTGCTTGGTTGCGCCGCGGTCCCCTCGGACGTTTCAGGTAATGGTGCGGGCGGCGCGCCACAAAGGGGTTGGGTTTCCTCACAGAATAGGGGTTGGGTTCTTCACAAGTGTTCTTGGCTTCAAATCTCAAGTGCGACGCAGAGTGTCCCGGCAACGTTCTGTGCACTATGCGCACGAGCGCGTCTTGCTTGCGCGGCTAGCACAGCGCGGCTTCCTAGCGCAAACGCCGCCACGGGCCAGACAGGTGCGAGCGCACGAGCACTGAGCACCGTCGGTGTCTTCAGAATCCCACGTTTAGCGGCACCGAGCGCCCGCGTCGCACGTGCGCGCCAGCTCGCTGCGCCCGGCCAGAAGCGCGTTTCCCTCTTACACGCAGCCCTGGGCAAGCATCGCGTCGGCGACCTGCACAAAGCCGGCGATGTTTGCGCCGTTGACGAAGCTGGTGCCATACTTCTTGGCCGCGGCCGCGGATGCGTTGTAGATGCTCTCCATGATGCCCTGTTTTTGGTGGCACGGCCGGTGTGGGAAGCCGTGGGAGGCTGCTGCCATCATGGGGGGGGGGAGTGCTGCAGGGAGGCGATGCCTGCACAAGCTCGGGGCCGTGAGACAGGCGGCTGCATCCACCGTTCACCCTGATGATGATGATTATAATATTGCAATATATGCAACCAGCCAGCCAGCTAGCTAGCCAGCCAGCCAGCCAGCCAGCCAGCAGCTCTTGCTTGTTCTGAGCCGACCCTCGCGGGAGTCGTCCCTGTGTTACGAGCGCCGCACGCCGCAACACCGGACGCCCAAGTCCAAGCAGTGGCGCGGCCGTCGCGCCTGCGCACCTGCAGCCTGGCGTCGACCTCCTCGGCGCTCCAGCGGGTGATGCCCGCGTTCTGGGCCATCTCCAGGCCAGACACGGCCACACCGCCGGCGTTGCACGCCTTGGCGGGCGCGAGCTGCACGCCCGCGGCCTCGTAGGCGGCGACGCCCTCCGCGGTGGTGGGCATGTTGGCGCCTGCGTGAGGCGCAGGACGGGCGGGCGCCGAGGAGTGAGGGGCCTTAGTTCAGGGCGATCAACAGGCGAGGATATTCGATCCCTGCCCGTCGTGGCGTCAACATCGGTGCGGCGCAAAACAGTGCCTCCGCCACCACAGAGCAAGCCCTCATGTGCGCCGGGGAACGGCGGACCCTGGGTGTGGAAGTTGGCAGGGCCCTCCCTGACTGCGCCCCCAAGACAGTCGTGCTGCCATCTCCACACCGATCGTTCGGCCGGTGCCAAACCCTTCACGGCCCCGCCGCACCCTAGAAAACTAAGGAGCGGAATAGAATAAAAGCGCACCCTCGAGCACCAGCTTGACGCCGGCCTTGGCCAGGGCGGCGGCGCTGGCGCCGTCGATCTCGTTCTGTGTGGCGCAGGGCATGGCGATGTCTGCAGGGATGTCAAGGGCCCACACGGCCACTCCCTTATGGTACACGCCTGGGGGTGGAGAGGAAGGATGGACGGGCGACGAGGGGGTGCAGCCGGCGTGGTTTGTGGGGGATGTGGGCCGTGGTGCATGCATGTCTGGGTCTTGATGTCAAGGAATTGCATAGAAGTGTTGCAGGCAATTTCAGATGTTCATTTGTGACGTGCGGATTGTCGGTGGTTTTTGTGTTGTGTGGGGTGCTGTGCAGAGTGTGCAGCTCTGGGTCGTAGTCAGGGCGGTGGTGTGTGATTACGAGTGTGTACGCGGACGAGCTGATTGGGTGTGTACGCGTGCGGCAGAGCGTGCGGCCGTGCTCATGCGCGCGTTTCTGAGCGAGTGTGTGTCCTTGGCGCACCCGAGGGTGACTTGTAGTCGGCCAGGGTGGTGCGGACGCGGGTCTTGAGGTCCATCACCTAAGGGGGTGTGGAGGACGGGGGTTCAGATATGTGTGTGTGAGTATGTGCACGCTCGTGCGAGCTTGCGTGCGTGTGTGCACGCGTTTGCGTGGGCGTGTGCCCGTGCATTTGTGTAGATGCTGGGTTGGGGCTCTTGCCAAAGACGGCTCCAATGATGGAAATAATCCCTTCTCACCCTCCCTTGTCAACCGAACCGCCCCCCGGAGCTGCCTTCCCTCTGGATCCCTTCTCCCTCCCGCGCCGCCGACACCGCCGCCCCCCTGCATCCCTCCTCTCGTGTGCGCCCCTGCCGCCCCCTCACCTGCTCCACCTGCTCCTTGGTGAAGCCGCCCTCCTCCACGACAGTGCCGGTGGAGTCGGAGAGGGTCAGCACGACGCCGCCCAGCTCGATCACCTGGGGGTGCAGGGGGCGGCGGGCAATGAAGCGCCAAGGCTTTAGACCATCCCGGCTTGGCCAGGCCTTGGCTCTGGGTGGCAAAACGGCAGCCCGCGCGAGCGTTGCTCCCTGGCTCCCCATGGGCTCGAGGGCGGGAAGCGGAGCAGCATAATCATGCGGGCTCGCGATGTAGGAAACATTGCAATGAGCATGCGGCCATGGGGCTGACCTTGAGGGCGGCGTAGGTGGCCACGTTGCCGGCGCCCGACACCAGGACGCGCTTGCCCTGAGATCAAGGTGAGATGGCGGTGGGGTGAGGCTCGGCTGGTGGAGAAGAGAGCGGCTGGATGGCTGTAGTGTATATGCCCTGCCCCCCCCCTCCCCCTCTCTCATCCCTCTGCATCCCTCGTCATCAACCGCTTGTGCTCACAAGCGTGCACACATACACACACGATTACGTCCGCC